TTGCCCCCCCAGCACCAAGAAGACAGAGCATCACTGCCCCAGACATAAGAACACAAGAGAAACCATGTTAGATCAGGCCAATGGCCCATCCAGTCCAACACTCTGTGTCACACAGTGGCCAAAACCCAAGGGCCATCAGGAGGTCCACCAGTGGGGCCAGAACTCCAGTAGCCCTCCCACTCTTGCCCCCCCAGCACCAAGAAGACAGAGCATCACTGCCCCAGACATAAGAACACAAGAGAAGCCATGTTGGATCAGGCCAATGGCCCATCCAGTCCAACACTCTGTGTCACACAAAAGCCAAAACGCAGGTGCCATCAGGAGGTCCACCAGTGGGGCCAGAACTCCAGTAGCCCTCCCCCTCTTGCCCCCCCCCCCAGCACCAAGAACACAGAGCGTCACATGCCCCAGACATAGTCTTAGTTTGTGGCTAACATCCACTGATGGGCCTCTGCTCCATATTAGAATGTTAAGAGAAGCCATGTTGGATCAGGCCAGTGGCCCATCCAGTCCAACACTCTGTGTCACACAGTGGCCAGAAATACCAGGGGCCATCAGGAGGTCCACCAGCAGGGCCAGAACTCCAGAAGCCCTCCCACTGTGGCCCCCCAAGCACCAAGAAGGCAGAGCATCACTGTCCCAGACAGAGTGTTCCCTCTATAGATTGTGGCTGATAGCCACTGATGGATTTCTACTGGAGACACAACTTGGGTCCTTCTGCATGCAAAGCAGAGATTCTTCCACCGACCCACAGCCCCTCCCCTGAATTCTGAATACTGACTGCTCCGATCTGGTGGTAGAAACTGCCGTCACGTTGCACCTGACTTGTGGCAACCACAGAGGTTTTTCAAGGCAAGAGCCTAACAGAGGTGGTTCGCCATTGCCTAACTCTGTATAGCAGCCCTGGGCTTCCTTGGTGGTCTCCCATCCTGCTTAGCTTCCGATATCTGATGAGACTGGGCTAACCTGGGCCATTCAGATCACGGTTATCTAGCGGACACGTTCTTGTTCCTTCTTCCAAGAGCTCAGGGCAGCATACATAGGCTCTCCCCTTCTCCTTTATAGAATCACAGAGTTGGACGGGGTCATAGAGGGCATCTAGTCCAGCCCCCTGCTCCGTGGGGAATCAGCCTGGAGCATCCCTGACCAGTGTTCGTCCAGCCGCTACTTCAAGACTGCCAGGGAGGGGGAGCTCACCACCTCCCCAGAAAGCTGATTCCAGTGCTGCACAACTCTGACTGTCAAAACATTTCTCCTAAGATCCAGCTGGTACCTTCCCACCCTTAATTTAAAGCCATTCTTGCGAGTCCTCTGCTGCCAACAGGAACAGCTCCCTGCCCGCCTCTTAGGGACAGCCCTTCAAATACTTCAGGAGAGCAATGCTGCCCCCCTTCAACCTCCTCTTCTCCAGACTGAATCTTCCCAAGTCCCTCAGCCTTTCCTCCTAAGGCTTCTTGGTCTCCAGGCCCCTGGTCATCCTCATCCTCCAAGAGCAATTATGTTCCACTTCAACCTCCTCTTCTCCAGACTGAACCTTCCCAAGTCCCTCAGCCTTTCCTCCTAAGGCTTCTTGGTCTCCAGGCCCCTGATCATCCTCATCTCCAAGAGCAATTATGTTCCACTTCAACCTCCTCTTCTCCAGACTGAACCTTCCCAAATCCCTCAGCCTTTCCTCCTAGGGCTTCTTGGACTCCAGGCCCCCAATCATCCTCGTCGCTCTCTTCTGCACGCGCTCCATTCCATCCACATCCTTTTTGAGGTGAGGCCTCCAGAACTGCAGCCTGGCCAAAGCAGTGTACAGCAGGACTATCACATCTTGCAATCTGGACGTTATGCCTCTGTTGATACACCCCAAGATCGCCTTAGCCTTTTTTGTCGCTGCATCAAACTGTCTGCTCATATCCTCACAACAGCCCTGTAGGTTAGGCTGAGTGATGACGACTGGCCCAAAGTCACCCAGGGAACATTCATGTCTCTGCAGGGATCTGAACCCTGGTCTGGTGCTTCAGTCACTACCCCACCATGGGTCTCTCTCCTCTGTCCTCTAGGGCCAGACCCCCATGGCGTGGGTGGCATGCAGGAACAGCTCTACAATGAGATCAAGCCAGCCATTGCCGGGGCCAATTTCATCGTGAAGCACACGCGAGACAAGAACGACTACAACGAGGTGGGTGGGTGTGCGATGTGCCTCCTTGGGTCTCGTTTTAGCTCCAGACAAGGGCAACAGATTCTGACAAAGCATCTTCAGCAACACAAGGGAAACAAAAATTAATCCCCTTAGAAACGTATGTACAAATTCAGCCAGTGTGGTGTAGCGGTTAAGTGCGCGGACTCTAATTTGGGAGAACCGGGTTTGAATCCCCCACTCCTCCACTCGCAACTGCTGGTGCCACCTCTGCGGTACCATACTGGGGAGCAGTGTTCCCTCTAAGCTGAGTGAGTGTGAGCTAGCTCACAGTTTTGTAGCCTCTGGCTCACACATTTTTGTCTTTGCTCAGGAAGGAGGGCTCCAAAGCAAACTGATTTATGGCCAGTGTTCCCTCTAAGCTGAGTGAGTGTGAGCTAGCTCACAGTTTTGTAGCCTCTGGCTCACACATTTTTGTCTTTGCTCAGGAAGGAGGGCTCCAAAGCAAACTGATTTATGGCCAGTGTTCCCTCTAAGCTGAGTGAGTGTGAGCTAGCTCACAGTTTTGTAGCCTCTGGCTCACACATTTTTGTCTTTGCTCAGGAAGGAGGGCTCCAAAGCAAACTGATTTATGGCCAGTGTTCCCTCTAAGCTGAGTGAGTGTGAGCTAGCTCACAGTTTTGTAGCCTCTGGCTCACACATTTTTGTCTTTGCTCAGGAAGGAGGGCTCCAAAGCAAACTGATTTATGGCCAGTGTTCCCTCTAAGCTGAGTGAGTGTGAGCTAGCTCACAGTTTTGTAGCCTCTGGCTCACACATTTTTGTCTTTGCTCAGGAAGGAGGGCTCCGGAGCAAACTGATTTATGCAGCAGCCAAAATGCTCGCTCACAATTTTAATGCCAGCAGCTCACAAAGTTGAATTTTTGCTCACGAGACTCCACAGCTTAGAGGGAGCATTGCTGGGGAGGTCAATGTGATCTGCGGCTGCCTTACAACATGTTCAGGGAAGGTCAGGCAGTCTTTTGGCCTCTTCCGACTCTGTCTCTCCCCCTCCAGGAGAAGGACAGCTGGAACCGTATCGCCCGCACAGTGGACCGCCTCTGTCTCTTCCTGATCACGCCCGTCCTGAGCCTGGGCACCTTATGGATCTTCTTGATGGGCTCCTACAACTACCCTCCACCCTTGCCTTTCGAAGGGGAACCTTTCGACTTCCGGGAAGAGCACAAGCACTTTGTCTAGAACCCGGGCCCCTCGCTTCTTCTCAGGAGGGCTGCGGCGTCCACTCACCAACCTCCATCCACCTTCTTCCCTGAGGAAGGGGCTGGGGGCGGAGGAGGACATCAGCCCTGGCTTCCTCCAGCCACCCCCTACCATCCAGTGTGCTCGATTTCTAAATTATTTCTGTGCGTTTGTCTTATAACTTAAGGTGTAATAAACACTGCCTTTCCCAGACGATGGCTCCCAGAACATAATTACACACGGAACTGCATTCTCCTGAATCAAACCCTTGGCCCATTAAAGTCAATATCGCCTACTCAAACTGGCAGCGGCTCTCCAGGGTCTCTGGCTGAGACCTTTCACATCACCCAACTGTGTGGTCAACTGGAGATGAACCTGGGACCTCCTGCATGCCAAGGAAAGGCTCTTCCACTGAGCCACGGCCCCTCTTTACAGCTCTCCAGGGTCTCAGGCTGAGGTCGTTCCCATCACCTCCTGCCTGGTCTTTTGAACTGGAGATGCCGGGGATTGAACCTGGGACCTCCTACGTGCCAAGCAAAGGCTCTTCCACTGAGCCACGGCCCCTCTTTACAGCTCTCCAGGGTCTCAGGCGGAGGTCTTTCCCATCACCTCCTGCCTGGTCTTTTGAACTGGAGATGCCGGGGATTGAACCTGGGACCTCCTACGTGCCAAGCAAAGGCTCTTCCACTGAGCCACGGCCCCTCTTTACAGCTCTCCAGGGTCTCAGGCGGAGGTCTTTCCCATCACCTCCTGCCTGGTCTTTTGAACTGGAGATGCCGGGGATTGAACCTGGGACCTCCTACGTGCCAAGCAAAGGCTCTTCCACTGAGCCACGGCCCCTCTTTACAGCTCTCCAGGGTCTCAGGCGGAGGTCTTTCCCATCACCTCCTGCCTGGTCTTTTGAACTGGAGATGCCGGGGATTGAACCTGGGACCTCCTACGTGCCAAGCAAAGGCTCTTCCACTGAGCCACGGCCCCTCTTTACAGCTCTCCAGGGTCTCAGGCGGAGGTCTTTCCCATCACCTCCTGCCTGGTCTTTTGAACTGGAGATGCCGGGGATTGAACCAGGGCCTTCTGCATGCCAAGCAGATGGAATTACACTGACCCATGGCCCCTCCCTTAGTCTGGCAGGGTCAGGATTGTACTCAGAGTGGCAGTGGCTCTCCTGGGTCTCAGGCTGGGGTCTTTCACATCGCCTCATGCCTGGTCCTTTTAACTGGAGATGCCGGGGACTGAACCTGGGACCTCCTGCATGCCAGGCAGAGACTCTGCCCCTAGGCCACAGAGCCCCTCCCACAAATATCTGGGGTTGGGTCTGGGAAAATGGGTGAACGTATGGGACAGTAGGTAATTTAGGGTTGCCAGCTCTGTGTTTGGAAATTCTTGGAGGTTTTTTGGGGGGTGGAGCTTGTGGAGGGTGGGGGTTTTGGGAGGGGAGGGGCCTCAGCAGGGTATAATGCCAAAGAGTCCATCTCCTGAAGCCGCCGTTTTTCTCCAGGTGACCTGATCTCTGAGATCTGGAGGTCAGTGGCAATTCTGGGAGAGCTCCAGTCCTAACCTGGTGGTTGGCAAACCTAGTTACAATTGACATTGCAGATGGAGGGTGGAGAGAGAGAGAGAGAGAGAGAGAGAGAGAGAGAGAGAGATGGTGTTTCAAAGGAGGCAGGGCTACTCTTGGAGCACCTTCCCCACACTCAGTACGAAAATGTCTCTGGTGAAAGTAAGTTCAAGAAGGGCTCCGGAGACTGGAGGAAAGGGTCTGTCCTTTGTCAAGTGGACTGGTTGGATACTGTCCCTCTTCTCCTAGCCTGGGAAAGCTAATCCCTGAAGCAACTAGAGAGAAAGAGAGAGAGAGAGAGAGAGAGAGAGAGAGAGAGAGAGAGAGAGAGAGAGATTTTCAAGGCCAGAGACATTCAGAGGTGGCTTGCCACCACCTCCCTTTGCATAGCAACCCTGGTCTTCCTTGATCAGCTTACATCCAAGTACTCTGGGGTCATTCCGTAGAAAAAGAGGTGCAGGAGCTCATTAGCATAACTCATTAGCATCGCTCATTTGCATATGCCACACCCCCTGACATCACCGGAAGTGTGTCAGAAGGCGACACCCACCCCTCAAGCTCCACTGGACTGTTTTGGATTGCTAGCTATTCGGGGGGGGGAAGGTGCAGATCTGTCCTCGCAGAGGAGGGAGAGCTTGTACCTGAATCAAACTTGGTCTTAAAGGTGCCACTGGACTGTTCTGGACCGGGGGGGGGGGGGCTCTGCAACTTACCTGGCTGCTTCTTGCTCTGACTGAGGGCTGCTGGGAGCAGGGGGTGGGGCTTGTTGCATGTGCCCACCCCCTGGGCTCTTTACTGCCGGAGCGCCGCTCCTGTGCGCTCCTGCAGGAAATGACCCCTGCATCCAAGTACTAATCAAGGCCACTCCTGCTTACCTTCCCAGGTCCAATGAGATCAGGCTAGCTTGGGACATCCTGGTCAGGGGTCACTTGACGTTACACTACATATTATACCTGTATTTACCCCAAGAGCACTGGTGTGTGGGGGACACACACACACAAAGTTCCCATGACTACTCCTAGAACCAATTTTGCCGAATCCTGGGAATTTCCCCGGTAAAGTACACACGATCCCCGCCACCAATTGCAGACTCGAGGCTCCTCATTCTCTGGAGCTTTCCATGCTCCAGAGAGGGAAGGGAGACTTCCTGAGATCGCTCGCACAGGCGGAGCCACGCGGAGTGCTGGAATGGTTATTTTTAACCCCCCTGGCTGTTCCAACCAGCTGTTGTGTGGAGAAAGCAGGTCAGGGGGTCAGGCGTCAGGCGTCAGAGACCAGGCCAAAGGAAGTGCTTCTTCTGGGGGCCGGATCCCATTTCACAGGAAGCGGCAAAGGCCTGGGCCAGCCTGGAATGCAGACCACGGACAGCTGTGCCTGGTGTTCACCTTCCTTTTTATTGTGCCTTACTGGAATGGTGGGAGAGCGTCCCCACCTGTTTTCAACAATGGTGCCTGTTGCAGAATGGCTTCTCTGATCTGCAAGCCAGGTTGCCAACTCCAGGCTGGGAAATCCCTGCAGATTGTGGTAGTAGATTCTGAAGAAGGTGGGGTTTGGGGAAGTAAGGGACTTGAGCAGCATATGAATGCCATAGAGTCTGCCCTTCAGAACAGCCCTTTTCTTTAGGAGAACTGTTCTCTGTAGTCTGGAGAGGAGAAGGAGAAGGAGAAGAAGAGGAAGAGGAGACTGAGATTGGATTTATACCCCGCCCTTCACTCAGAGTCTCAGAGCGGCTTACAAACTCCTTTCCCTTCCCCTCCCCACAACAGACACCCTGTGAGGTAGGTACGGACTGAGAGAACTCTGACAGAACTGCTCCGGAGAAAACGGCTCTGAAAGAACTTATGACTGACCCAAGGACATCCAGCAGGTGCAGGTGGGGGAGTGGGGAATCAAACCCGGTTCTCCCAGATTAGAGTCCGCGCACTTAAACACTAAACCAAATTGTAACTGTAATTTCAGGAGATCTCCAGGCCACACCTGGAGGCTGGCAACCCTATCTGTACACCCCGTTCTGTTCTGGCCCTCCTGGGCGTCTAGACACTCAGTGGTCTGCCCAAGTCTATACCCGGCTCTGTGCCCTTCTCTCAAGTCCACCCAAATCTTGGAGGGTTTTTCTCACATTTCTTCTTTGGTATGCTGCCACCAGCTGGTCAATTGTGGAAATTCCTTCCAAGGTGGCCAGCGGGGCAGAATACCATAGAGTCCACCCTCCAGTAGGGTTATCAGTAGGCCTAGTTTAGCCACAGAGGACTTCTTTATTACTTTACACTGAGAGTGATTCAAATGTGGAATTTGTTGCCAGAGGATGCAGTGATGGCCACAGGAATAAGCAGCTTGAAAAAAGGATTAGATAGATTAATGGAGGATAAGTCTGTCAATGGCTACTAGTCATGGTAGTAGCTTTTGAATGGTAGATTCTTTTGAATTATGGCGCTGGAGAAGACTCTTGAGAGTCCCTTGGACTGCAAGAAGGTCAAATTAGTAAATCCTAAAAGAAATCAACCCTGACTGTTCCCCGGAAGGCCAGATCCTGAAGCTGAAGCTCGAATACTTTGGCCACCAAATGAGAAGGGAGCACTCCCTGGAGAAGACCCTGATACTGGGAAAGACTGAAGGTCAAAGAAGACGAGGACGGCAAAGGATGAGACAGTGTTATCGAGGCAGCAAACATGAAATTAAACAAACTCCGGAGCATGATGGAAGATAGGAGGGCCTGGCATGATGTGGTCCATGAGGTCGCGAAGAGTCGGACTCGACTGTGCGACTGAACAACAAACTAGTCATGGTGACTGAGGGGAACCTCCACATTCAGAGGCACTAATCCTCTGAATCCCAGAGCTGGAGGCAACATCAGGGGAAGGTCTTGGTTTCTGTGCCCTGTTGTTGGCCCTCCAGAGGAACTGGCTGGCCACTGTGTGAGGCAGGATGCTGGACTAGATAGACGACTGGTCTGATCCAGCAGGGCTCTTCTGAGGTTCTTATGAAGGCCTTGGCCTCTCTGCCCTGTTGTTGGCCCTCCAGAGGAACTGGCTGGCCACTGTGTGAGACAGGATGCTGGACTAGGTGGACCACTGGTTTGATCCAGCAGGGCTCTTCTGATGTGCTTATGAAGGCCTTGGCTTCTATGCCCTGTTGTTGGCCGTCCAAGGGAATTGGTTGGCCACTGTGTGTGACAGGATGCTGGACTAGATGGACTATTGGTCTGATCTAGCAGAACTCTTTTTATGTTCTTATGAAAGCCCTGGTGTCTAATGCCTTATGGTTAGAACTCCAAAGGAACTGGCTGGCCCCTGTGTGAGACAGGATGCTGGCCTAGATGGACCACTGGTCTGATCCAGCAGGGCTCTTCTTATGTTCTTATAAAGGCCTCGGCCTCTCTGCCCTGTTGTTGGCCCTCCAGTGGGACTGGCTGGCCCCTGTGTGAGGCAGGATGCTGGGCTAGAGGGACCACTGGCCTGATCCAGCAGGGCTCTTCTGTTGTTTTTATGTTCTTTGTATTGTTTCTGGAGTTTCTGTTGTTATTTTTCATATATGGCTGTATTGTCCTGTGTATTTCAATGTACGTGCGGGCCACCCCTCGGCAAAAAGAAAATTGAGACGATGATCCAAAATATGCATAGGGCTTAGAGTCTCTCTCTCTCACACACAC